ATTTACAACCCCCCAATACAGCCACCCCCCCCCCCCCCCTTTGGGGCTGTGAGTGAAAAATACTCTCTTGTTCAAACCTTGAGAAGGGTCTAAAATTGACGACAGGTGGGCATTATATATCTATCTGCTCCAGGTGTGGCAGAGGCAAGTCTGAAGCTAACAGCTTTCTCTCCATTCAGAGCGGCTTGTTACAGGTTACATACCAGAGAAAGCCTCCTCGCTGTGCATTCTGTCATGGACGGAGTGCTGCCTGTTAATTACAGGCAGCGCTGCATCCAGCTTTTGACAGGTAGTTAGGTTACACAGCAGCGGGCTTCCCCACTGCTTGTGTAACCTAACTTGGTGAAGCAAGAGCTGTCACAGCCTCTACTCTGTGTTAGAGGCTTGGACCAATGGCAACGCGCCATTGGTCTAAGTACCGTAATATACAGGGGTACGGGAACTCCTAGAATGAGATCCTAATAGGTTGGACTTGATGGACTAATGTCTTTATTCAACCTCAAATACTATGTAACTATGTAATAAAAAAAAACCACAGAGGGCATCGATCTCGATGCCTCAGCAGTGACGAGCAAGTGAGGGACAGGGAGGCTTCACTCTGTCTCCTCCCTTCCTCCTCCCCAGACAGCTTGGTTACTGAGCTGGGGGTGGGGCTTCAGCAGGATGAGGGTGGAGCTTCAGCGGGTCAAGGGCGGATATTCGGCGGGACAGGGCGGGGCTTCGGCGGGCTGGGGGATGCCTCACCCAGCAGAAGGCACGGCACATCACTGGCTCCGAGATGTTATTAGACCAACTGCACAGAGCTACAAAATAAGTCAATACTGGAAGAATGCAAAACTGAAATGCATTATGCTAATTTGCTAAAGGAAGTGAATGATAATAATCATTTGTGATGATGGCATTGTTTTTTTTTTTACCTGGATAATCTCTACTAAAGTCTAGAACGTCCAACCTTCTCCCTGTCTGCTTATTGAATCACCAATCCCATTTAAACTTCCAAAGCAGAATTCAATCTGGTTGACAGCTCTGAGAAATTTCTTAGTGCTAACTTTCTATATGTGAGACAGCATGAAGCCTGCAGTGGGTGTTTGGGGACACCTCTCCTGCAAGACATGTAGGGGTTCTTAGAACACCCCATTCTTACAAAAAGGGGGTTTAGGATTCATTCAATATTGTAATGCCTTAAAAAAAATTAAGAACTGAGCAGGTAGCTTGACAACTGAAGACATAATTTTAAATTGAGTGTACCTTTATGCTGCTGTAAGATTTGAAAACTACTTTGAAAACTTTGCATTCTCTATCTAGACATGTTAAATGATAAATGACCTTGTTTTCTACTCTCCAGAGGACAAATGTTAGCGTGAATACATAAACCTACGCAGCAAGGACTAATCCTTTATAATAAGACTAGTGTGGGGAGGTCTCGGCCTCTCTCTACTGTAACAGATCCCAATGAGTGTGACAAATTTATATTTAATCAGATAGAAAGGGAAGGAGAGACTGTCACTTTCTTCCATGACATTTATTTTGACACCGCAATCAAATACATCATTACAAAACTGAAAGATGCAATTTGGCTTAAGCAGCAGATATTATTTAAAAAGACGTGTCATTTTATTTAAATTAGTTCCCTACTTTGCAGCTTCGCATGTTGCTTTGTTACATAAGGTGAAAATGGCAGACATCACCTTAATCCTCTGCCTGAATTCTGTTATTAAATTCATTCTGCGAGTTTAGCCTTGGGAATTTATGATAAAGCAATCATGAAAAAACACTTTGCCTTTTTTGTAATTTAGACAACTAATTGCACTGCTGCTTCTTAACGGTTTCTTTTGTTCAAGAGTTGCTGAGCTCTAATGCACAACCAGGATGATACAGTTGTACAGTGAGCAAAGACTGAAACAACATATGAACTATACAACTATATAGGTAAATATCTATCAGCTAACATTTGATGTCATCAATAGTTCATCATCAGTGGCATATGGAATATAGACAGAATATTGCCACTTTGCAAAGAAACTTGAGCATCTTTGACGCTGTTCACTGCTACTTCCATAAATGCACAAACACTCTTGCTAGGAAATACCATATCTATCTTTAAGAGGAACTCGCAGGCCACAAACACTGTTTTTGCAAGTGTTTTTTACTTACTAATACTCATTCATTCCAAATGAACCCTCTAGAGCCAGACTGATGCCACCAGCATTACCTATGCAAAGCCCATCTCACAGCTAGCAACCAGTTGCTATTCTCTATAAAGATAAACAGATAAAAGAGGACCAATCTTCATCCTGATCACCTGCCTCCCAATGTGGCTATCCCAACTTGGCTGTCTTGGTCCTGTTGGACCCCTGTGCAGGTTTACAGGATGCAAAGGCAGCTTGTCAGCAACTGAACATAGTGAAATAATAAAAACAATGCTACATTATAATGTTTTTAGCGTTTAAGGATTGACATATAGCAGCCCAGCAGCATCAGCTCTTGTTTATTAACTATAGACCAGAGTTGTTCAAATCTATTTTGTTTTTTTAGGGAGCCAAGTTGTGGAACAGGACCGGTGATAATACTACAAGTGACATTGAGTCACTGTAAAAGTTACTTAAATACAGTAACACAAAAACAGCACATTTTCCCCCTGTGAAGCATCCTCAAATAAATGTACTTTTTATTTTCCTGCTCAAATATAACTGTCAAATAACATAGATCAACAAACTCACTAAATATAGGTCGTGAAAAATAAATGCTACATTTTGCTTCTAAATCATTAAACACCAAATAAGCATGTTTTCCTATTTATATGTAAAATACTATAAAAAAAATACTATAAAGTACTTTCAAAAACTGTTTTTCTTTATGCTGTATTTCCCTATCCGTAGAAGGCTGGCAGAAAGATGCTGCACTGCAAAAAAGGAGTGAAAGCCAAAGCACAGAGCACTGGGGTGGAGTAAGGCAATGGGAAGCATAGCGTACATGTACCCTTGATGAGTGTGAAGCTCTCATGTCACGCACTGTGTACTGTAGCTTAGGAAAAGGTACTCTGCATCTTAGTAAGGAGAGCATGAAACGGCAAGCAAAGCAAGTACAAGCCCTGAAATTATGGAGGGTACTTTTCAATAACAATTGAGGACACTTCAGGATTTTCCTGTTTTTAATAGTTACTTATATCCCATACATAGCATCCAGGCCCATTTCAAACTCTTTTTATTCTGCATGTTGATACTGCTACTCAGAAATTGTCATATAGTAAGCATATAGAGGCATGAATGGGGGTAGAGTGAACTTCAACGCATATTTTTCAACTACATGAAATGCAATTACTATGACATACCTGATAAAGATAATCTTCAAATACAAAATAATAATCATCATTGCTAGCTGTCAGTTTCACATCCTATTAGAAAGGACAAGGAAAGGTATATGTCAGAGTAATATATGTTTTTATCTGTCATTATTGCATATTTTATCTGAGATGTCAGAAAAGTAAAGCACCACAACCGTGCTACAAAATAAAGTCTAATAACATGCAGCTAGATTTAGCAAGTGGAATATGTCTCACTATACAACTAACAGGCCTATTCACTGAAGGGTTTGGAGAAGGCAGAAGACGTGAAAAATCTAGCTGATTTGGAAAAATTCTCCAATTCAGCTCACTTTCTAGGTCAGCTATGTTGTCCTATATTGTTCACTTCTCCTGCCTTCTCCAAACTCTTCAGTGAATAGCCCTGTAAATGTGTTACCTTGAAACAAAGCAAACCTTGGTGGACTGAACTATTTAACAGCACATATATTGCAGGATGATGATGCTGCTAGTTTGCATTGTTTGAAAGTACAGTGAGATTTAAATTCCCTTTAAAATGACAGATCAGATGAACATAGACAAGCTGGTAGGTGATGATTACATCATACTCTCCATTGAAAACCATTTAGCTGACTTTTCTTTAAAGCCAAATGATGGACTTTAAATGCTACTTAGTATAACAATATTAAAATATAACCCAAATAAAAAATAAACAACAATAACAGACACATAAGCTGAAAAGTATTTAGTATGCATGTAGTTCAGTACCATTACTTCCAAGACTAAGCTCATCTCTAGCCCCTTCTCTTGCCTATGGAGGCCCAGATTCAATTAGCATATGCTTTACATTCATAAGTGGCATCTTGAAAGAAATAACATGTTGTGCTCCAGGGCTAAGAAGATAACTTTTTTCTAGACTGTAATGCATTCAAACAGTTGTCTTGAATATCCTTGCAATTACCACCATAAAGTGTACGAGTTAGAGAAGAAGCATGGCAGAATATATTAGCACAGTTAATCTAAACAGAACAAAGAAAAAGAAGAATACAAATTAAAGTGCAAGTGAAAAAACACACAACAAAGGAGAAATGTAAGATAGGCAGGGTGGGCACTGCCCCTTTGTTGTCAGTTATGAATGTTTTGGGGGTTTTTCAAATGGGTGACTTTAAGCTCCACCTCATGTATGATTTAGCTCCATTACAGTGTTCAAGGCCGTACAAGCAAGGGCTCAGCATCAGCACACAATTTCCTGTATGGCGCCCTCTTGCCACCAATCAACTATTGTTGTTAAACACATTTAAAATGCTTCAGCAGGACACATAAACCCCAACCATGTGTTTTACAAACCCACCCCCTCCCGATGACTGGACCTCCCAATACAGCACGCGGCTCTTTTGTAATCCTCTCTGGCTCCAGATGATGCTGCTGTTCATTCCAAGGGAATTTTCAGTGTTGAATGAAGATTGCAACAGGGAAGAAGAAGACCTGGCCGCTGCGGGGGATGAGGGGGTTGGCACTGCAGGGGGTTGCTTGAGAGTTACAATTAGCTCTGAAGCAACCAGAAACTACAGTTATCAGTCACATAATAATCTCCGTGGGTGCCGGATAACTGGGAGTTTACAGTACTACTAACTTGCAGCGCCGCGGGTGAGAGCTGCAGGTCTTGTACAGTGAACCCATTCACCCTCACTTTCCTCGTCTCTTATCCATTCACAAAACACCTTGTATTCTGTTCACATACTGCAGGTTGCTTTGTGATTAGACAAATTATAGAATAATGTTTATACTATTTATTTACAGGAATTTGTTTTAAAACTAACACTGGTCCAAGTATAAAAAAGCATTTATTTTTTATTTTTACATCTTTATATCAAATGATTACAAAGAGAATAAAATAATTATTGCTATGAAAAATGGCATGCATATCCAGGATTAAATTAATATGCATATTTACATTGGTCCAGGTTGGCCCAATGTAAATATGCATATGTCAAACCGGAGCTAGTACAGTGCAGACATAGATGTTCTGGGTCCTGGTACTGTGCTGTGCTGAGTGGCTTCACCTATGCTCTGAAAACACTCGCTCAGCATGGAAAGCCTAGTACTTTTATCGATTAACACAACCCATTCCCTGATTGGATGAAGGGCAGAGATTTCACGATCTGCTCCTTGTCCAATCAGAGAATGACCTTGTATTTATTGATAAAGATATAAAGGCATTCTCCCAATGGCTGTGTTTGCAGAGCATAGGTGAAGCTGCTCAGCACACCACCGTAACAAGACCTAGAAGACTGCTGTCAGCATTGAATACTACAGCGCTTTACAGGATCCCCAGCAGCCAATCAGGTATAACATATGTATACTTACATTGAGCCAAGCTGGACAGATATAAGTATGCATAATAATTTTTATCAGGAGTCCAGCTTTAAGCCATGCTAACATTTTTGCCATTCATATAGGACTACAGCAGAAATGATCTAATCTGAGATACTGAGCTAATACCTGTTTCACGTAGTCATACATAAGCACACTTCAGAACTATTCTTTAATCATTATATTTTGTTGCACTACTCTCCATTACACCAATATCATTTTGACTACAAAACAAGGGCACTATAGAAGTCTTGGATCTAATTTGTCACGGTTGGTAGGGTTTAGTGAACCTACATGTAGCATACCTGTCATGTACCAAAGATAGGCCACAGAAGAGTCATATCATGTTTATCACTCCCAAACCCCTCTACACACCCACACAACGGTTAACCACCAAGAGTAATGACTGGGAAATTGAGTTTGGATGTTGCTGAATAGAATAAAAAGTAAAAGAGGATGCAAATGTACTCAAACACATTGTGTAAGAATATCACAAAATGGTTGATAAAGTGCCTTCCTGAGCCAAGTGTGTTTGATGACAGCACCTTCATGCCTGAGTAAAAAATATTAAGTCGCATGAATTTGATAGAATACAAATCTTTCCTGACTTCTGACAGAAAGCAATAAAGCCAGATTACTAACCTTGTAAATCAGACTGTCGGATAAAAGGTCATGCTGAATTACATTTGATTTAAGCTGTTCATAGTACAAGACGTCCTGAAAAAAATGGAAAGGCACAAAACAGAGAGTTTGAAAAAGATATATTGGCAACATAAAGTGATACAGAGCATCAGAGGGAAAAGTGCACTCTTCTGTGAAGGTTTATGTAACTGTAAACAGAAGGTGTCGTAAAGCATTACATTGAGAAGCCTGTACAGGAGGGTGTCATGGAATGCTTGTGTAAACACAAAGCACTAAAGCTGACATAAAAGACCTTGAGAAAAATAAAAACAGCATGAAATGCAACTTGAAAAAGACAGTGAGGGGAATTTATCAAAGCAATTGCAACAATTTTAGCAAATCTGTGTAGCCGCTCCTTTTAACTTGTGCGCCTGTTTTGACCAGAACTTGCGCTATTTTTCCAAAAGTCCGCAACTGTTCACATCTGCACTTGTCCTGTGGCTGTCGGAAACTGGAGCATCACCTAACAAAACAATTGCTACTGAAGAAGTCTCCATGACCACTTCTTCAAGAAGCGACAGTTAAGCTTGTTGCCTGGAGTTATGAATCTTCTTTCCTGGAGTCTATTTAATCTCATTTATGAACAACATTACACTCGCATATATCCCATGCGACCATCTGCAAGTTCAAACACTCACAATTGCTATGATAAATCCCCACCAGAGAATACACTAATAAAAGGCAGCTGAAAAGCAAATCAGTCAATTCAAAAGCAGCTGTGTTATGGTGGGAGAAACCATGTTGTATCCCCGAAAAGGCGATGGGGAAATGCTGGCATGAGTTAAACTGGGTGGATGCAGATTTTACATTTCTACACTCTTACAGTTAAAGGGTCTATTCCCCAACATTATATTTTAGGCATATGTGGAATCTGGTGGCCTAAGCCAGCTTTAGGCTTCCTATACTTCTCCTTCATCTCCTTGCCCTTGTTTCTAACTCTGTCACCATCCCCCTGGGTTTTTGTTGTTTATCTTTATCATCCTGTTGCATTGTCCATAATATAAAATACATTCAAAAATAAGCTAAAAATCCAACAGGGAGAATGAGAACCCCTCATCGTGGCCACAGCAGGTATGCAGACCCTAAACTAAACTCAAGAGTGCTCACCAGTGGAGTCCCTAAGAGATATAAGAAACTGCCAGGTGCCTTAACCCTCCAGCATCTACCTAAAATTGAAATAACATTTTGGGGTGACCTGACCCTACAAAGCCAATCTGTGTGTTGCCATTTCATCCCCAGCATTCAGGGCTAGGAGCTGAAATAAATACCAATTATTTTCAAGTATGTGACAGCACTAGCCCAGTGTTGTCACATGGGGAGTGCATAGCCTTGTATAAATGACTCTGGTGACTTGTACTTTACACGGGGCTTTTTTTTTTACTCCTGGCAGTTGAACAGAGCAGCGGGGGATTGAAAAGAAGGTAAGTATACTCATCAGTGAAGGTATGCATTAAAGTGAACCTGTTGCTTTACCCTGCATTGGGAAACCACAAACGCACTTTAAAAATCTCAATAAAATTGAAAAGCAAGCAATTAATACTTATCTGTCCCTCTGCCCACATCGCTTAACTCCTTTGTAGCAAAGAGGCAAGCCTGCTAAAAGATCTCCAACGTTCAGCACATGTGTTGTCCCCTCTTGCATTCTGTGGTTCATTCCTCCGACCCCTATGTTACTACAGCATGCAGGGAATGCTGGAGGGAATCACAGAAGGCAAAAGGGTAAGCTGGCTGCTGGCTAATCAAATGTATTGACTTATGTTGGAGGAATTTCATTTGTTTGTAACTTGTTTTATTACTAACTAATAAAAACAATTAATTAATTGCTTCCTTTTTTTATTAGGCTTTCTAATAAAGAGTTGCTTGAAGTTTCCAGAATGAAGAGTATGTATGTGTGCTTAGTTTGCAATTACATTATCAAGGCGTGAGCCATAAACGGTAATATTCATGTGTTGTCACTCTTGGAAATTCACCTTTGCATAGAAGATAAAACAAGAAGATAGTTATAAGTTTAACATGTCTCAATAGGGCAAGCAATGGAATAAAAAAATTGTATTATTACCAGTATATGCTCACTTCCTACTGTAATACATATAAATGAATAATGGAGCTATATGTAGTAATACCTAATAGTTGCAATATCTCATTAGTTCCTTTTCTAACATTTTACTGTGTAATAGTTTCACAGTAAATTTTCTGAGTACAGTCATTTTCCAGACCAACTTCTTCACCCCAGAGCAACAAACAGTGCTTAGGCTTTTTGGGGTGAGACAAAAGCCAACATTCTGTCTGAACATCCAACTGTAATAAATTGCTGCTCAATTGCTTAAAATCAGAGTCCCGTCCCCATCAGCAAACCACCTACCCTGTGAGTTTAACCAAACTGAAACTCTAACAGTAATTTTAAGCTATATCTAACCTCTGGCTAAGAATAACTGAAGTTATTTTAACAAAATAATGGCTTACTCTAGTGGCAATTGTTTTTACAGATTACCCCTATGCAGTGATAGTTTCCCAGATTGCATTAGAAAAACATTTTATTTAGGAGAGATGACAGACATAGCAGAAGCTCAAGTGATGGCCATAGGGTTATTAATCAAGACAGTGTGCTCACTGTACCAAAGAACGTGTAAAAAGTAGACATTTGTTGCAATAATATGTATTATATTATATTCAACTCCTCAACCACTGTTTAGAATTTAAAATTAGATTTTTTAACATAAAGCCAACCTTAATTAGCAGAATTATAGAAAAACTTTCATATTTGATGGCTTTCTGCTTACTTTTTGTAATTGTAATCTTGTAACACTGAATTAATCTTTGTAGCGATATTACTGCTAGAGTCAGGTGTCCCAGAGCTGTGCATTTACCTTTATCTTCCTCATAAAATCTACAGGCAGAGACAAATTAAAACAAATTGCCTACGTGCTCTTCAAGTATTTCTTAGTATTACTGTCACATATAGAAGGAAATGATACAAAGATGAACACAGGTTTTGTGATTTCCTAAAACTGCTGCCATGTCTGCTGTTACATTGCTGTTTGCAGAGTGATCATATCATTATAAAAGAAGAATGGACAATAAGATGTCACCACATGATTTGAGGGCTTAGAAGACAGGTTGGTGCGCATACTGCAGAAAAATCAAGTCTCCATCTGGAGATGGGCCAACCACATCCAACTGTGCGGATTCCCCCGGGCAGACCCACAATATGCTGGTGAAATCATATCTCTGAGTTAGAATGAGAACATCTTGAAAATCACCAGAAGGAGCTGGAATACATAGCCATCCATGGGGGTTTCAGAACCGACCTGATTAGACCAGATCATTAGTTTCATGCACCCAGATTTCAGGGTCTGTACAAACTGACAAGAGAGTGTTAGGGGGTTGAATTCAACGATTAAGGTAATGGTTACAGTTTAGAGGGAGGGACAGGCTCAGAAGTGTTAGGATAAGGCAGCTGTTAAGGGGTAATTTTAGGGTTAATTTAAAATGTTAGTGATAGAGTATGTTCAAAGTTAAGATATATCTTTTTCTAGGCGCTTGCAATGTATTTACACAATCCATTTAGCCACTTTTTCACACTGAGTGGTTTACTTTGGAAAGACCCTACAACCAATTAAAAAAATTGCAGATAAAAGCTCAGAAAAATAAAGTGTTATAAATGTTTGCTTGTAGTGTTTTTCCTTTCTTTAAATTCATTTTGATTGACTTGCAATTTTCCTATTGAGCTTGCCAGGAAATGTAACTACTGCAATACTCATTTCCCTAGCACAGCCCTCTCCCTCTTTACATGTCGAAACCCTCTACGCTTCTGGGAGTGTCTAAATACTGTCGGTCCAGATGTGGAAAGAGTGAAGGGGAATATTATAGAGGGTCATCTATGAGTCTGCTGTGGCTGCTGACATCACATCTATGATGGCGGCATCCACCAGCACTCTCAGGGCTTTAGATGTCTACAAAAGGAAGGCTTTTACAAGTAAATGACATGCATAAAAATAGGTTAAAGGCACATATAATCTTATGGAAGGACTTTTGATGAGATGAATGGTCTGGCAGACAGGGTCTCTTTAAGTGTACATTTACCTACCAACACCAATTAAGGGATACAGCTCAGTTCTTGTAACTTTCTTGTTCTCTCTTGCAACTAATCTCGTTTTCTACCACTAAGCCTGTGATTGGGTGAAACACGTCAGAGGGGTAGACACCAGTGATGTGGTACAAGCTTCAATAAACTATACCAGCAGAACTTGGTGTGCAAACAGCATTTCTTCTGTTTGTATGGGCTCATATTGGAGTGAGGATGTGCTCCCAGTGGCAAGCACCCAGCTCATTCCTTTCCTGAGGCGTGATGGAGCGGTGTTTCTTTTGTGTGTTCCACTAGGCTGTTATCTGTTCAGCTGACAACAGATCCGATTACAGACAAGTTGCCAAAACCCGGGGCCCCTTCACACTTGTCTGCTCTGCTATGTTACCACACATGCGTTCATGTGCAGTATTTTGAACATTAATGTGTGTTACATTAAAGAAGCGTAATTTTGAATATGCTGCCAATGCACTACAACGTATAACCCCCCCCCCCCACCCCCATACCTGCACCTGAACACATATGCTGCATGTTGTGCTCAGAGCCGATGCATGATCTGCTTCTGAAATAAATCAATGGCAGTCCAATGCAACGCATACTGTGTATATAGTATTTATGTGTCAACATCACTGCACTGTATTTAATGCAGCAGATCTCAGTACGAGCACTTGTAGTATAACTTTCCTTCATATACACAAGTGTATTAGTGCTAGGGATAAAGTAAAAGAAAATGACCTCCTCTCGTACATAAGTTGACAAGCAGACAAAAAGGTATAATTTGCCACCTAAGCAAACGGATTATTTCGCCTCTGTTCGTCTCCATTTAATTACTGTGCCGCCAGACTATGTCAAATGGAAATTAGATATGCTGAGGTGTCACTTGGGGCGTGAAATCCTCGAGAAGAACTTGGTAAATAACACTTTAAAAAGGCAAATTCCAGCAATTGCTGGA